GTAGCAAAGCAACGTGTGGAAACTGTGTGTCCTACCATAATCTGGAGGGGAAGGCAACATTGCCCAAGGCTCCAGCCTCTTGGATAGTGGTTGTACATAAAAGATGATGGGAATAGGGAACTTTAATGTATATTCATCAAGGCAATCCTTGCGTTTCTGGGAAGTTACTAATGTGACTTTTTGGGCCAGATTTCATACATCAATTGTAGTAAATATTCTCCTACTGCTTTGGGCATATTTATAGCTGTCACAGTGTTGTGACAGCATTGTAGATAGCTACTCCTTGTGCCGAAAGCAGCCTAGATACAACAGCAATGACTGCAATTCAGGCTAAGTCCTAAATATTTATTGGCTTCCTGCGTAGATTTTACAGCCTTCAGTGAGCTCCAGGCTTCTGTGGCTAGGCTGCTGTCAGTATGAAAGATAACTAGCTTAAAGATAACTCAGGTGTGTCTACACTTCACTCACAACACTGACAGCAGCACAAACGCATCATTTAGCATTCCTAGAGTTTGCATCACTTCGGGTCAGGTGCCATCTGTCAGCCACATACAAACCAGAAACGAAGCTGATAAAAACATTATGTGTTTTAAAAGCCAGGGAACTGCGAAGCAGCTTCCTTCATGTTTCTCATGGGTAAGCCATTTTTATCCAGAAAGCGGTGTTTGTGTTCTAAGACTGTGCCATGTGAATATACTTCCTTCTCCACTGCGTCTGAAACATGAGGAAGAGTCTGCCTCAGGCACTAAAAGACAATAAAGTACTTGCAGACAGTGAGATCTGTAGGGAAGAGTCAGGATTCTGCTAGGGCCTGGTAGCAGCAGCAGTACAGGCTGGGCAGGAGTTTGAAGACCAGTACAGCAAAAATTATGACTGAACCGTTAAAGTACTTCCTGTGCAACTCTAGCCATACCACTTTATTTTTCTGTACTTATTCTGTTATGCCTCCCAGCTCCTCCTCAGTGTATTGCTGTTTTTAAATCACTTTGGAATTTGTTACTAACTGCTTTGCAGGAGAAGAGCAAAGTGTTATGTTCAGCTGTAAATGAACATGGTTAACGGGCAGATTGCAATCTCTCTCCATCCTTAAGCATGTGGTATGACCAGGTTTGTTCCACTGTGAGAGCACGGTAGAGTGTGTATAGCTCACTGCCCTGTGCTGTGGGGTCAGATTTAAACTCTCTGTGATTTGCTTCATTTGTTACTGGAACTTGAGATACAGCAATTTGTGGTAGCAACCAAAGTAGCAGTTGTGGATTCCAGTTTTCACTCATTCTGACTGGTACCTTCCTTCTTTTCTTTCTGTCTTTCTTCATCATGCAGTGTTGAACACTATTTACTCAGCTGTGGCCTGGAGACAGGAAGGAGCAATGTGGTCATGCACCAAAACTGCCCTTGTTTATTCCAAGCAGCTCTTGGCAGACAATATGGTGCATGGGCAAATGTAATTTTCTGCATGGTCTTCACTGACCTTGCTGTAGAGAATAGGAAAACAGTCATCACAAGCAAACTGTAGACACCTCCTAAGGTCTGCGGTGATCCCCCTTCCTGTGTAATAGGCACCCAGCTGCAGTTGGAGAAATTGAGATGATTTATTGGTGAGGCGCCTGGGGTGTCTACAGGCTGACTTGTGTTACGGCCTAAAAGAGTCTGCCGGCATACTCAGTGACTAATTTGATGCTGTTTCTCCAGGCATAAGAAGCAAAGGGCTTCTTTCTGTAGAGAAGGAACTTCTCTTCACCACTTAGCTTGGTGTGCAGTTCCCATCTAAATAGACTGCTCAAAGCCTGAAGTGGTAATTAATTCTACTTTTATTGACAATGAACCTCACCCTCTTATGTGCTGGTTGGAGAGGATCTCTGCCACCCTTTCCCAAAGTCTTTTTGAGCAGACTTCTGCTTTTGCTCTGTGTTGTTTTGTTGTTTCGTGATGGAGGAGTAAGGATGATGCTGTGACTTGGTATGAAGAGGGAGGAGAAAAAGACAGTGTAACTTATTATAAGTTTTAAAAGTATGTTACTTCCAGCAAGTGAGAGTTCTCTATTTATGCCTCAAAACTAATGCTTGCTTAGGGCCCAGTTACCTTCTCAAGCAGCTTTTGTCTAGCAACCTGACAGGGACTGCGAACAGAGTGCAGCTTTCTCAGGAAACCTCATCCTTCAAAAAAACCTTAAACTCCTTCACCTTCAGGGGGAGATAAGAGAAGGCTAAGAGTGAAAATTAATGAAAAGGGGCTTCGCTGATGAAAGTGAGCAGATTATCCTCCTAGAGCCTGTCTGTTCTGAAGGCATGGGGAATGCTTTGTACACTGCTGGACAACAAACTGTGAAAATCTAAAGGGGATTGAAGCAGAGCAACAGGTATGACTGGGCTATTATTAATTAAATAAATATAGTTATCAGTTAAATAGATTGAATAGGCTAGATACAGTATGAAGAAATGGTTATTATAATGAGCTGTTGTCAAATGAAATGAAAAAATAATGGAGAGCCAGAGGTATAAGGATGCATAAATAGCAATTTGAACTCAAGCAAACAAAACATGGAAATTGAAAGTGTCATAGAGCTTCCAAACAGTGTGACTCTTTCAGGCCAACATGTAGACTTTCTAGACAAAGATTGGAAGTTTAATGCCGAGCATTAGTCAAAGCTAGATTTAGAAAGCCTTGAGGAGTAGTTGTAAGAAGTCCACACTGTCCTCTTCAATGATGAGAAAGTCTGTGTTTCAAAAGAGCCTTCTTATGCCCAACTTCTCTATTTTCTTGTAACCTTCTTCCTATGCTGAGCCTGTTGAAGATGATTTTATGAAACTTTTATGTACCTTGCACAATCAGATAGTTTTCTTAAGAACTTAGGACCAAAATCTGTATTGCTATAAATGACTGTTGATCTAACAAAATAGAAGAAAATGTTCTTTCCTCTATGTAGTGTCGTGAAAGAGAAATCATGAGCTGAAAATTCAGTTAAAAATTTGGATCTTCCTGCTCATGATAAATAGGACTTTTTCAATAATATCCTTTTGCAGTTATACATAAAACTTGGTGATACTTTCCTTGATGTCATTCAAGGAACCGATTAGCTAACATTGCAGGAGAAAACCCCACCATTCCACTGGATGCCATCGTTAACCCAAGCTCAGATATACACACTGGCTGAAGGACCAAGGTATCATCTGCAACAGAGAGCAGCCTCTGATTTGTGTTTCAGTAAGAAATTACAATGCAAAAAAGTTACAGTGCCCTCCATATTCTCCCAGAGAGCTGTAATTTCAGTGGAGTCACAGAAAGTTAATTCAGCTCAGCATTCAAGTTTTGAAAGAAAGGAGATTCTGATGTATTTATCCCTACAGTAGAATAGATTGCACAGATCCCTGTAATGGAACTGTAGTTCTGCACAGGCTTGGACATCCTTGTGTTATAGCAGATTTCTGACTGCAGAGCTGGCTTTTCCAGACAGAGCAAAATCACCTTTTCATAGTATGACCCTAAACCTAAGGTGCTTCATTAGACAGAAAGTCCTCTCAGGAGCAGTGCAAAGTATAGCACTCTAGCGAGCATCTGTAATGGATGTCAAAGAGTCTGACAACAATGTCTTTCAGCTATAGGGTTTCCTGAACTGAAGAGAAAAATAGTAGCCCACTCCATTCTTTCCTCTGCTTCACTGGTTAATAATGTAGGTAAAGGAAAAGCCTATACATGGATTTTGGTGACAGTCATCCTGCAGTACTTCTTTAGTCAGCATTGAAAATATTAATTTGGCTGGGTTAGATGTCGCAGTGAAATGTCCCTTTGATACTGCAAACCTGCTTCTTGAAACATCTGACAAGGAGTAGCATTTTCCCTTTCTCTCGCTTTTGTCAAACTGCCAGGCTTTGAGGAATTGTGGAGATATGGAGAGATTGCGGCTATTGTCTGGGACAAGGTTGATTATTTGGATGGGAGCCTGAGGAAGTCTAAGATGTGTCTATGGCAAAAGAACTCATGCTCTGTACCTCAGTCCTAATGCCTGTGCCCTTTGGATCCCCTCCCTGACTACTGCTTGGCTCTACTTCCACCCCTGGCTCCTTCTTCCATACTTTGCATTCTTCTGTATATATAAGTACTGCAAAATTGCTGCTGTTCAGCTACGCTACTCCTTAACTCCAGTCCACAGCCTTTTGGACTATGAACATACAATCATGTAGGGCTTTTGGACATCAATATACTTCCATTCCCTTGGGATCCTATAAGCTTCCCTAAGAGTCACCTCTTTTAGACTCCTTCTGCTGAACCAAAGAGGCCTTTCTTGACCAGTCTTTCACAAAGCTGCTCTCTAAAACATGAATCATTTGATTAGTTTTCTTGTGTTTTTTGGATCTTCGTTCTGTGCTTCCTATAATACAGTGACCAGATTTGTACACATTATTCCAAAAGAGACCATCCAGCTGCCTTACCAAATGCCAAAGTAATAACATCTGTGGTTTATGCTCTGTAACCTTCCATACACCACCCAGAAACCTTGTTTGCCTTTGTTACTGCTGCCAGATGTTCTGTGGATGGTTTTCAGGCGTATTGTGGTGAATGTCACCATGCCAGTGAATTTCAGCAAATTTAAGCAACTTTGAAATTATTCCTTTTTCCACATGGTTATATTGAAGTCAAACCAAACTGTGTTCTCACTTGAAACTGCCCTGTTTTGGTTACCTCTTTTTCACACTGAATCACTACCTGTTGCCAGTTTCTCTGCAGGAGCCCGTTCAATAGGATTTCACCTTTACCAGGGCTCTTCCTCATTGTCTTTGCTGGAAACTTCATCTGAAGACCCCAGCTCTGAGGGTTGAGGGAGCAGTTATATTGTCACTAGTACCCAGTCTAATTGAATTGAGAGTAGAGGGGAATATGGCGTTTTTTGGTTTTTGTTTTTGTTTTGTTTTGTTTTTTTTTTTTTTTTTTCTAGAGAAGAAGCAAGGGGAGGGAATAGCCTGTAAAAGAATTACCCTGTTCTCACCTCTCTTTTCCTGCAGATTTGTTGACAGCACAGGAATACCACTGCCTGCTGCAGCTGCTCTGCCCTGACTTCCCAGTGGAACTCACTCAGAAAGCAGCAAGGTAGGTCCTCATCCTCTCTTTTAAGGCAAGATCAGTCCTACACACATGGACTTAGGAACTAGATCTGTGGGTAAAGGTATGAACAGGGACCTTCAGTTTTTAAGATTCTTGGGAAAAGAACTACCATGTTTTGAGGTTAAGAACAGGGTGTTTTTCTAGCAATGTGGAAGAGTGTCTTTTTAAGGTACAGGGACTGAAATATCTGTGCAGAATGCTGCTGCTGGCTCTATGTTCAGAAACTGAGTTGCATATAAAATAATATTAGCCAATGTGTTTTTAACTGACATGATTTTAAACTCTATTTCAAACACTGTTTACCATCTTTAAAATGTGTTCCCCCTCGCCCCATCTTCCCATGGTTGATTGCGTTTAAAAGGTACTAACCTCTGAAGGATTGCCAGTGTTTTAAAGTATGTTAGCTAAGAACATGGTAGCTAATCTGTTTGAAATTTTCTTTTAATCTAGACAAGGCCTAAAGCAGATAGATGGCTTAGGGCACTGATAATGTGATATGGAATTTTTTACTGGTAGTGCTTGCTGGTTCCAGTCCAGCCCAGGCAGTTGATTATTAACTATCTGATAGTGAAAATGTAATAAGGTGTATGCATCTGTTGGTGTGGGGGGTTAGGTCAGATCTCAGTAGGAGTGTGCGCACACACACATATATAATCACAGCAAGGTTACTGAATAAATGCTCTCATTCCTAGCCATCTCAGTAGAGGGGACATGGAACTTTAACTTTTTTCATGGACCTAGACACGACATTTGGAAACAGAATCCAGACGTGATCAGGATATTAGCTGCTGCCTGTGTTGTTCATGGCCTAAATAATTAAAAGGTCCTCATTTTCCACTTGGCATTCTATTATCTTTCTTTATCATCAGAGTCCCATGAAAATTATATTAAGAAAGGAAAGTGAAAAAGGGAAGTGTTATCCATCTGCGAGTAGTTCCACTTGGCTGATTCTCTGAATTCTCCTCTGACTCCTATGTCCTGCTATCCAAATTGAGCTGCGGTTAAAGCTGTGTTGGTTCAATTAAAACTAAAAGTTGGGCGCCACTTTTCCCTCTAGCTCATCAGTGGGCTTTTGAGGCTGCACAGAGTACAGTTGCTTGGCTTCCAGTGCCAGACTAAGAAAGAATGCTAACCCTGTAGTGGGGATATATCTGCTTCTTCCTTTCACGGAGGTACACAAGCACCAGTCCCGTGCGCTGGTGTGTATTTCATAGGGTTCCAGCTGAGCTGAGCAGGAATTTGTGATGGTGCGTGAAAGGAGACTTCAGCATATCTACACATGTTATGATGTTTGTGTCAAGGAATTTAATCCACAAGGCTGTTGTAAACTAGAGGCCCCATTCAGGGGCCTGCCGCGCTGCTGTGCGTGTGCCGTAGAGACAGACAAGCCGGCTTTGGGAGCAGGTGGTGGAGAGAAATGAGATCTCTGGCAAAGGCACCCAGGCTCAGGTGGGGATGACCTCACTCCTACTTTTGGCTGGCTAGAGATTTACTTACACACTGCTATTATTCTGTTACAAGCTAATCTAGTTGGATAATTTTAATAAAACTTGTCATATTTCTAAACCATCTTTCTCTTTCCTTCCAACTGTTGCTCACTCTCTTGCCCTTTTTCTGGTCTACGCTTCCCGTTGTCCTTGGTCTCCGCCAGTTAGAGAGATGAACTCCAGCAGGCTGGCTTTGGGCATCCTTTGATTAAGTCCTTGAAAAGCAAGAATGACACATGCAAACCTCCTGACGTTGTCCTTCCTTCAGTCTGCACACCCCCAACGTTTTTGTTGCTAATTTGCTTGGGAAAGGCATTAAATAAAGTAGTGGCAGAAGTGGCCACAGCGTTCGGTGGTACAGCCAGGACCTGTGTAATTATTGGCGCCCTTGGGAAGAGCAGTCATCGTTGTAGTCTCATTGCTGCATGACTGAGATGATCTCACAGCACGGTGCACTCCGCTCATCCAGGAACTGTTGCTATGCACTGATAACAAACATTGGGAGTAAGATCAGGAAAGGTCAGAGCAGAAGAACAGAGGCTACAACAATACAGGTTTTATTCGCAGTGACACCAGAGAGCTCCATTTTTCTGTTCGTGGTGCTACACAAGTGCAGAAGTCATACCCAAAAAAGAACCAGACAATCTGTGTCTGTGAGATTTCTTGGATTTTTTTTTTTTCTTCAAAGGATTATGGCCACGAGCAGATTGAAGATTTTAATCTACAGAGATACCTTTGATCTTCAGAGATGCCTTTTGCCTTTCTGAATCTTGAAATTGCAGAAGGACAGAAAATGAAAGGATTTTTCTGGTTTGATGCCATGATTTCAAGATCTGTACCTGAGTATTGGCCTTTCTTTTGTAATAGAAACACAAGGAACTTGCTTCCCACATTTGAGTACCGAGAGCTTGGTAGTTCACAGCTCCTACGCTGTTTTATGTGGTGTGGGAGCTCATGTTGCACTGATCAGTGCTAATGGAAGTGGGGCTTGCAAGTCTGTACCCCTGTTGTTAAAAGGCTGCCTGAGAGTGGAGATCTTGCCCTTTTTCTATATTCCGCGTATTTTTGCCTCCCTGTATCAGTAAACAAACCAAGTCCCTGAAGACTCATTTGAGCCAGCCTGGCCTTAAGACAGATTGTGTCAGTTAGCCTTTAATGGTAGCAGAGAACAGTAAAAGTCCTTTCAACTTGCCTGGTCTAGAGTTTGTCCTGGGGACATCCTGTCTAGTCTGGGTTTCTGAGATTTTAACCGCAATCAGTAGATGATAAAGTTTCCCCGTTGGCACAGTAGCAAGGCTTTCCTGCCAGCCAAACCCACTTGAACCCTGAAAGACCACTACACCCTTTACCAGAGTCCCTCAAGCGTAGGCATCTTTCTTCAGTCCTTTCCAAAGTTTCTCCTTAATTTTCATTATTCATTGAGTGCCGACTGCTAACTTTGTAAATACGTCTGTGCCCCTAAGGGCTTAAAGTCTAATTTTGACAAGAAAAAATGAATAAAGAATCACTTGAAATATCAGCTACCCGATGAACTTTTTTGAGTTGCAGTTCAGACTTTTGGATTTCGTCCTCAATTTTGGTCCTGCTTGTCTAGGTTACAGTCCATGGCTAGGATTCTCTCCTTGCCAGATATTTCAAGGAAGAGGTGCAGATATGTTGCCTAAGATGCTCTCCTAGCTTCCCTGACTGCTCAGTCAGCTGGCCGTGTGGGGGAATAGCCAGCTGCAGTCAATCTCCTCATAAATGATTGTATTGGATTTAAAGACTTCTCAACATTTCCGGAGTGTAGACTCCTGGGCCAAATGGAGTCAGTAACCCAGCACCAGAGTGCACCTGCTTCTATTTAGATGTTCATCACGTACAGTCTTCCTTAGAGGCTCCCTACTGTCTTTAACAGCAAGAAATGTTCAGCAAATTCTCAGACCTCTGCCTACTTCCTCATGCTCTCCTCTAAGTAAGAGACTGGGACTTGGTGCTGCAGAGCACAGCCCTTGACCACAGCTTTAGATTTAACAAGTGAAATGAGTTGACTGTCATGAAGGTGATGTAATATTTTCTCTCTACATAGGAAATATGTAAAAAAACCCTCTTCACTGTTGTTCTCCTGCATCTCCAGGATGGAGAAGCGCACTGGCCAAAGCTTTGGAGCTTGTGCTTTGAGAGTATCTGGGAGACAGACCATCGTTTCAAAGGAGGGAGCGCACCTCATCAGTGATGTGGCCCGTCACATTTCCAGTGCTTAAATAGTGGTTGGAAACGCCAGTGGCTGAGCAGTATTGCCTGAGAGATGAAGATGCTCTGCCTGCCAGCTTCAAAGCCATTTCCTTGATGTGGCCACTGACAATCTCAGCAACATGCTTATTAGTGAGAATTAAGAACTGAAGCTACTGCTTCTTTAGACAGGAGGAGGAGGAGGCTTCTGGAACATAATAAATAAATCAGAAGCACTTTGACATCTTCAAAGGGTTTTGTTTTAAATACTGGTTTTTCTCCTGGGGACCCTCTTAGCCCCAGTCTTTCTTCTTTGAGATAATTAATTCAAGCTGCTCTACATGTTTGATTTTGCCACAGTGAACAGAACTGGTCTGAGTGGCAGGGAAGTCTTGCAAGATCCTATAACTCTTCTAGGTCAGCCTCCCACACAGCTCCCTGGAGTCTTTTACATGAGACAGAACGGTGTTTCCCCAGCAATGCGCTTAGACCATTGATGCTGCAGGAGCTGGTCCATGGATTGCATTCGGCCCTGTATTCAGAAGAGTCTTACTAGGTGACTCATACTCTGGCTATAATGAACTGGTTATCCTTCTCATGTGCCATAATATGCCAGATACTGACTGTACAGGGTCGCTGCAGACAGTTGAAAAAAAAGTACCAACTACCTTTCTTTAGGATTGTCCAAATACTCTTTTTTTTCCCCATCAAAGCGGAGTGTTTCCTTCTGTTTTCCAGTCTGAGCTGTCATTGATCAGCCCAAGTTTGATTTTCCCCACTTCAGAGACTGACCTTTTCATCCTTTTCTAGTGGCAGTGACCACAGCGTTGTTTTTGTTTTCATTCTTATGAATGTTTTTGCCCTAACTTTCTTCTGAAATCCAGAGTGTTTTCCTGAAAGGAGGAGTTGTACTTTGCTACCACTTACACTTCATCTTTATGGCCTGATACTTCCCATATTCATGAAATACGCTTCAAAATAGGGATGCAGATAGCTCTCTAAATGCACCCGGGGCTTGGCAGAGAGAAAGAACACGTTGTCCCTGGCCCAAGAATTCTTCAGTTGCCGTGAAATTTGACCCGATAGTCAAATGATAGACCTGATAGATACGAAAAGAGACCAATTCATTCATCGATAAGGAAGGATAGGTTGTTCACGGTGTGTAATTAGAGAGCTGATTATTGGTGCGATGTTATTTCCTCTGTAGTCAAGTGGAGTTTGTTTGAGTATAGACTGGGAATTAATAACTGTTGTTATCCTTATGAATCAGAAAATATCCCAGTTTGTTATACAGAGGAATAGCAAAAGTTTCATTCTGCTTACACCCGTTTAATACTCGTGTAACCGTCTTGTCTGCAGCACAGTTACTCTTTGTATAGCCCTGTGAACCAGCCTTGCAGTTTTTATGCCAGTGTTCGTTCCATTGCGTCCACGAGGCTTTGAATGCTTGACACCCACGTCACGCTGCTCTGTTCCCACTGTAGCTGCAGGGTGTGATAGCACTGGCATTCAGGATCTTCTCCTCGCTGCAGGTCCTTGAGCCACCTTCATTTGATATTAGGGCATCCACATCCATGCAGCAGTGGGTGTTCCTATTCCTCTCTCCTAACCTCTTACACTGGGCCAAGCCACCAGCAGCCCTCAGTGGCACGTAGCTCCCTCGCTGTACTTTCTCTCGATCTCGGTTCCTGGTTACAGACTTTAGTTCTTTTCTAGATGCTAACCTGTTTTTCTCATCTTATCCTAGGATTGTGCTGATGGATGATGCTATGGATTGCCTGATGTCTTTTTCTGATTTCCTCTTTGCTTTCCAGATCCAGTTCTACTACTCAGGTAAATGCTGGGAAGCTGCTGACTTCACCCACTGGTATTGCATTACAACTTTACAGCTTCCCAACCCCTGCACTTTTTTGAAATTTGTAAGGATATGGTTTTTCACAGAAAATATATAGATAATGGAATCTACTGATGAAAGGCATCACTGATGCTAAGAGATTAGGAGGCTTCGTAAGGAGGTTCCAAATTTTTGTGAATAGCAAGATACCTGTAACTGTTATGGCTTATGCGTGTATTTGTCCTTGCCTTGAGACTTAAATTTCCAGCTTTATCTAGAGTATGTTAGCACCTAACAATTAACTTTTACCAGGAACATTTTTTTTCTTTTCTGTAGTACAGCATTTCTGCCTCTAAAGTATTGGTCCCTGCTGGAGACAGGATAAGAAAAGCCCACCAGCTGGTGCCTTGAAAGGAAAAGGAACTGAACAAACAAATACAGTTCCTCGCCCAACTATGAGCTGGTTTCAGCTCAAAGAATTTCTGAACTGGGTATAGTTTCCATAGGTCTGGGAACCCCCAGTGGACTCCTCTCCCAAGAACTTCTCCATCCTCCCCTTGAAATCACATAAACTTGTAACCTCCAGAACACCTTTTAGCAAGGCGTTGCACAGGTCAGCTCTCTCGTTTGATTTGAGAGCCCTTAGTTGCAAGGGAAAGCGAAGAGTTAATCCTCATCTACCTTCTTCATATTGTTGGTCATTTATCATCTTCCACCCTTGTCCTCCAGTTTCAGTTGTAACTAGATGGGGTACTTCTTTTAAAATTCTTGACAGGAGATATACAAATTAAGTAATATTAGTTTGTGTGTGTGTATATTTACATATGCTCACCCACACGTATACATCTGTAAAAATCCCCAGGTATTTTTAAACTAAAGCTCAGGAGACAAGACTTGGGTGAGCATTCAGGTGCTTGTTCTATACCAGGAAACTGCTTTAAAATACATTGGCCTGTTTGTCCTAGCCCGCTAAAATGTGGTTGAGGAAAGGAAATCTCATTCAGGGAACTGCTTAAGTGGGCAAAAAGAGGGAATCATTTCCTTTATCAGGGTTAGATATGCTCCCAAGCACTGGGGGCTCCTGGGGTGCCACTTGCTCATCTCCCAGGAGAGAGCAATTTCTATAGGCAACGTAAGCACAGGGATTTCTGTCCACTCGCATTTAACTAGCTCCCTCTGATGGATGTAGCTCACAATTGGCCTCGGCCAGGCAAAGGGGGCCAGGTTTGGGTACTGGGAGACACTGGCTAGAAGCTGTGGTAGAGCACACTCTGTGGTCAGAGAGGAGACTTGGGTGGCCTGCTGTTCTGATCCAACCTGTCAGTTCCCATCTTTCTAGCAGTTAGGAGTCAGCTGCTATCCCTAATACAAAAATCTCTTTTTCTCAGTACTTCTCTGTATGTACTTCCCCCGCAACTCCACCGTGCATATCGCAACGTTATCCATGACAACTCATCAAAGAAAAACAGTTCAAAATGGCGATTTTGGGTTGGGCAGAACCAGGCTTGTACTGATTTTAGCCAGGGACAGAAAAATGTGTTTGGAAAGCTTTTCTCTGATATAACAAGTATTTCCGCTGAGCTGCAGAACCTCAGCACAGCCTCAGGGCCCGCTGACATCCTGCCCTTCCTTTCCCCCTGCCTCACGCGCAGCGTTACGCTTCCATTCACTCGGGCCCTAAGTGCCACTGGAGTCCTCACAAGCCGGCCCTTGTGTACACGCGCTCAAACATCCCGTCCCTGTCCTGTTCACCCAGGCACAGCGCACACACGCAGCCTGTCAGACGCTCTCCCACCAACCCACACACATGCAAACCACTCCAAATGGAATCTAGATTTGTAAACTGCTGACCACATCCATAAACAAACTTGTTTAAAATTAGACTCTTGCAGTAAACAGTGGGTAGTATGAGGAGCCTGGGGAGAGGCTTTCTTCCAGCTCTAGCCCTGACCTGCCCTGGCCCTTCCTCTAGATCCCGTGTTATATTTACTTTGGAGCAGCACAGAGACAAGCTGGGATACAGCCTGGAGCCCTGACTAACTTGCTCCCTTCCATCCTGTTGCAGTTCCATATCATTTGCTCCCAACTTGGATGAGTTCTTAATCAGTGGCAGGAGATGGAGAAGGAAAACTTTTTAGACGTTGCAAACTAGTTTTGTGTTTGACGTTAGCTTTCACGCTCTGCTGTTTTATCCATGTGCTAGCTAGCCTCTATTCCCTTGAGAAGAATCTTGTTCAACACAGTGGTCTCTCGTGCTCATCCTGGCAGGAAGAAGCCAGCAACTTGTATGGAAGTGGCTGTTTGTGCCTGCATAATATCTGATCTGAAAATGCAGGATGCTGTGGTGTTGTGCTTATTTCCTGTTGGTGCTGTGTACAACACAGAGCAAGGAATGACAGTTTAATCCTAGGTCTGGTAGGTCGGGAGGACGCTTTTCTGGTTATAGCCCTGAGTTTTAAGTCACTTTCTGTTTTTTTCAGAGTTCCTGGAAAGTGTGGCTGCCATTTATCAAGATCTACTGGCTGGTAAGAATCCAAATACTGTGATTGTGCCAACATCATCCTCTGGGCAACATCGGCAGCGCCAGCCCCCAAATGACTTCAGCCCACTTGATGGGGTAGAAGCATCTGTCTTCTACCAGTGCCTAGAGTCCTTGTGTGACAAGTCAAAATACAGGTATGAACAGATTCCAAAACACAGATTTAAAGTCTCTGTCTCCGGAGACCCTTCGTAAGGTTGGAACTGTGAAGGAATACAGGACTTTGAACGAGCTGTAACTCCCGAATAGTTCTTACAGGAGAAGTCTGAAGGAAGAGATCATAGCCGAACCACTTTAACCAAATGAGAGAAACAATTTAATGGATGTAAGAGACATGGGATTTGAGCTGATTCTTGAAGTAATGCACCGATTGGGGTCTCTGTTTTCCTTCTCACGTCTGCATTGACACTTTCATGAAGAAGAGGTCCATCTACCATCATGAGTTAACTAGAGGAGAGAAGTGCAGTTGTGTTCTTGGGTGCTGAAGCATAGGAAAGGCCCACTGAGGTTGATGGAGCTTGAAGCCTTGGTACCTAGACTGCTAGCCTGCACTCGAGCCAGCTAGGGAGCTGGTCACCAGTTACAGATCCCAGGCACAAGACTAGCCTTTGTTCAGCAGGGGATGGAGATACCAGACCTTATTGTATAGGTTTGATGGACACTTTCTTCATAGTTTCTTGCAAGTAGCAAGCACATGTCCTGCTAGAAAGTCATGGGCTAGATCCACAAAAAGACTCAGGACACAAGTTCCGCCTGATTCCTGCCTTGGGTGCCTGAACCCAAATTTGTGATCCACAGAATTACCACTAATACTACCACTAGTACTACCATCAGTACTGTCCAGTACTATAGCTATCTAAACATGGATATGCCAGGTTGTTTTGTTCCTTTAAATAAGTTCTACATTCCCTGTACATCCCGAGAGATTCAGGTAGGAAAGGTGCTGTGAGCCCATCTGGTAGGTCAGGCTCTGCACAGCACTGTGCGGGGAGCCATTCCCAGCCTTTCATCCCGTCGCTCAATACTCAGCCAGGCCTTTGGTAACCACCTTTGCCTGAGGGGTCACCAGCCCACAACCACATCTCCTAGGGGTGCCACTGCACCATGGACTATTCAACACTTCCTCTTTATGAGGCAGTTTTATTTTTTGTGAAATCCTTTAAGGAGTATTAGGCAAAAGCAAGAATCCCTATAATGATATTGCTTAGAATTCAGGGCCAGGGGTTAAGGTGAGTGTAGAAGTAGGGAACCTGTCGATTTAGTCCCCACCTAAATATTGTTTTCTGACATATTTAGGCTATCATTGGAGAGGTTTTCCTGCCCCTTGGATGACTGTCACTGATAAAAGGATGATAACAACACCACCCATGAAAGTTTATTGTCTTATAAAAGAAAAGATTTCCCAGTTGATTTTTGAAAGAATATGCTAAGAGTTGGGATATGGATGCCTCTGAGTGAATCGAGGCTTTTCTCCCTGTCCTTGGAATGGAGACAGGTAAGACTGCTCCTAGGGATGTACCCCAGCTCAAAAGTCATGCTTAGCAAATGGGGAGCAGATGCAAAGCTAAATAAGCAAGCTGGTGGCTCTTTGTTTTAAACTGAGACAGGGGGAACTTGACAGTTTTAGAACAGGTAAAAGGTAAAATTTCTCCAGCTTGAGCTGGGTCTTGGAGAAAACGAACAAACAAAAAAAGATAATTTAAAAGACAAGATGACCTTTTTGTCTCTTCCTAGCTGTCCACCTTCTGCTCTTGTGAAGGAAATGTTGAGTAGTGCACAGAGACTGACCTTCTATGGATTCCTTATGGCACTTGCAAAGGATCAGGGCATCAATCGAGCCCTAGGTAAGACTCGTGTGAGTGGTACAGCTCTAGATTTTCAGTCATTCTGCACTGCTGTGGAATTCCCTCTGTAATTATGCCCCAGATTTTACACTGTCAGGAAGAGAGTGAGGGAAAGTTTTTCATCTTTCTGTTGATGGATTAAACTTTAAAAACATAACACTGTGCCTTAATGTCTGCTTGAAGCTGTGGAGCTTCTTCAAGGATAAAATTAGATATGAAATGCTACCCTAAGATAGCACTGTTTTACCTCTTCAATAGCTGATCATTTTAGCAGAATTGTCGTTTTAACATGTTTGGCTGTAAAGGCTGGGCAGAGGTGGTCAGGAGACAAGTAAGGTGGCTGACTGCTGTCACCAGTACTGAATTGAAGTCCCATCCAATGCTTTAGCCCTCAGTTCTCCCACAGATCTTAAGTGAATGCTCTTGTCTACAAGAAAAGGAGGTACACCTGATGGGAAAACCTCTTCTGCCTCCTTGGCTCAAAGACTCAAAGCTCAGTCTGTCCCAGCGCTTCTCCATCTTCCCTCAGGGCAGTGTGATCTTGCTACAGTATTAATCTGTGGCCTGCTGAAAATCTGGAAAACACAAACTGCTACAAAATTCTGTACTACACTGCTGTGGGAACCAGAGGGATTACCAAGCAGCGTCTCACTGCTTATTTCCATGTGCTGGTCAATGTTGTTCTAGATCAAGGAAGAAAAGTGTTGCATTGCCAAAGGACACTATATAATCCATATATAATTCAGACTCACAATTCCATATTGTCCCCCTATGCCTTGCTTGTGCTCCTTCTCCTCTTGCAAAAGGAACAGAAATGGCTTTTTGTGTTTGACAAGGCTGTATCCAGGAAGTATGTTCATATGTGTGGAAGCCCAAACACTCATCTTCACTCCTCTCCACTCAGCAAGTCATCTGGCCCATAAGGGTAGGCTTTCTCTGTCTTTGGGTAGGTATCCTCTCTCTACTTCTAGGCTTGCCTCTCTGCCAGTCCCTATATTGCACAGACAAACCTCAGTGAAAAGGTGTACCTTGCCTGAGGGCTTGTTCTTTTACACAAGTGTGTGTCATAGCAGAGTAAAAGTGTCCCCTCCCTGGCTGAGCCCCTTCTTACATCAACCCATTGAAGCTGCTAATGCCTCACTGGGGCAGGGCTGCTTACCCAGCAACATGGAGATTATATATCAAAGGTGCATGAATACAGCCCTGCAGTCCCCTCTGCAAACAGGCTTAGGAAGCAGTGTATTCACTGGGGAAGGTGATGCCTGGATTGCAGCAAGCAAAATCTTTTTTTTTTTCCTTTGCCCTACGAAATCCACTTCTACTCAAGTGCAAAGAAAACAGATGAGCAGGAAAAAAAAAAAATAATAATAAACCTGCCCCCAGCTTCCATTGTGCCAGAAAGTGTGTGGGTTTTTGTTCCCATTGATGCAGGCCGGACCCCTGGCCCCCTGCCAGCCTCCTGCCCAGGGCTCTCGCCGAAGAGGGGCAGCAGCCACAAGTCTGACAGGAGGTAGCATCTTGGCAAGGAAAGGAGGATTGGAGGATTCTTTTCCTGGTGTCTTTTAATCTCTCCTGAAGAGTGATTTCAATAGTCTTTGGTCTGTAGGGGATCGTGAGCTCCCCAAAGCCCTTCAGCAAGGGCAGTTTCAGGCAAAGGAGCTTTTGGTCAGGGCGCCTGCCTCCTCTCTGGCCTCAGAAAGCCAGTAGCCCCTCTTGAGGAACAGGGGTGGGGATTAGAGCAGCTCGTTCAGGCCGGGGCAGCACTGATGTGTCTGTCAGGCAGGCTGGAATCAGCAGCCGAACTCCAGTGTCAGTGTTGATTCGTGAATCCTTTCAGTGTTATTCCCTGACTCTCTCTCAAGTAATTCTTGTGCCCTGGAGACTTCATTGTGGATTCTACAAATGCAGAAGCAAGTCAAGCTTTAGCTGCTTATTCTTTTAATTGAGCCCACAAAAGGGAGCAGGCTGGGGCACTTCCCTGGCCCTCCTGCCACTCTGCGTTGCGGTGCCAGGCTTTCCTGTTCATTTGCAGGAGGGGAAGACTAGAACTGGAAGAAGTAGAGGAGTTGGTTCTGGTCTAAACTGGTTCTAATTTTTAGGCACTCATTGTTACGTTTTTGATGACTGCTGCCAGCTTGCCTGTGTGAGGCAGGTGGCTCTCCAGCCCCTCCTTCAAGAGCAAGGTGCCAGAGCCAGAAACCAGGAACTTATGTCCCTACAGGGAGTATAAAGCCCTTCCCAAAGGTACCGAGTGTAGCACCCGGGTCTCCTGAAAAACAAGAGCATTCCTCACTGCGCTATCGGTACAGATTACCAAGCGCTTTTTTTGTCCTGGTGTGCAGTGGCACTATCCAGGCTGTGGTAGGCAGTTCCTGTCATCTCTCTGCTGACTGATTACACCCTCCCATGACCCCTATACAAAGTGGAGCTTGTTACAGAATTAAGTAGGAGGGCTTTCCTAAGAGCCCCATCTTCCTTTCTGGGCTCTTCCTGAGGTGCCAGTGTCCTTTCAGAGAATGGCAAGGATGCTCAACAAGATGTTTCAGACCTGAACTACATCAGGACCTTCGTCCTGAATAGGGTTTCAAATGTGAAAAGGAGCATGCTGACCTTATGCTGACAGAGGATACCTGATCACTGGCCCAGCCTTTTGCTCTCTCACCCAGACAGCAAGCAATGCTAGAGCACAGTCCATCCACACTTACTCCTGTAGACTTAATGTGCACCAGAGTCAGGCCTGACTTTCCTGAATTGCAAGGAAAGCAGTAGTCTTACATCTGTGGAGTGTTTTGATCCCCAAGCTCGGTGTACCACAACAAAGACAGGTGCCACAGAAGTATACATCTCCCTGGGTGGTACAGCACATGCTTTAGGCTGTGGCACAGACAACACATCTATTGCTCTGATAGGATCTGGGACTGATGACTATATAGGACAATTAGCAGAGTGCCAAAGTTGACAGACTCCCATCTCCCCAACAGTTGGTAACAGTAGTCTTGTACAGTCAATGGAAACTGCCAAGCCTCAGGGCTCTTCAGGTTCCCTGAGAGGTGAAACTACTGAGAGTGCCTCCCATTTAGTCTGAGCTCAGCTGCAGCCTGTGTGAAGGATGCAGAATACAGCTCATCATTCTTTATCTGTCCGTGATCGTCAACATTCATCGTCTGATTCTCTAACAGGTAAAAGGAAGTCTTCTCTGTCTTGAAGTGCAGATTTTGGCTGCTGCTATAGCTTGAGCACTTTTCTTTAAGAATGAATAACCTAACTCTGCTCTGATACTTTCATTTGCTTTCTTTTTTTTTTTTTTTTTTTTTTTTTGTTTTTCCCCAGGGGCTTTGCCAGATAAAGGAGACTTGTTTCTGGACCCTGCCATGGATCAGGAACTTGAGAAATTGTAAGTGGAGTTGCCTAAAGTCAGGAGGTAAAGCAACAGATTAAAGGTAGCATGCTAAGGAAGACATTAGTAAAGTATTGTCCCTATTCCTTTGCTTTAGTACAAAACAAAGGAGAAGCTAACAGAGCAACCTGAGCTGAGAGGGCCTCTTTCTTTGCGGGGGGTGGAGGGGTGTGCCTTGGTGCAGCTAACAAAATCCTTAGAAAAGGCTTCAGAAACAGCAGGGAGAAGTGTGCCTCAAAGAGGGATCTAAAGGAAGCAGCAGTTTGTAGTCAACAGGGAAATTTTGTTTGGATGGTGAAAACTAGGAGCATTGGAAGTCACAGGCTCAGCTCTGAAGAAAGATCAGCTTAAACAGGAAGAAAGATTCACACAGCAAGTCTGGTAGGTACTAGTGCAAGGTGTTCCTGCTCTGTGCCATGAACATCTTTCCATCCCTGTGCTACTTGTGCTTAAGTTCTCCTCCCAGGTTCACTCCAAAACTGCTACAGTAAAGGCTGGAGATGAGAAGTTAGACTGCCTAGCATTTGTCTTTTCTCTTTCAGGGTAGCTCAGGTTTCAGCGCTTTCTGTCTCTGGTCCCACCAGCTCCAGCGGGGACACAGCTAATTTGCCTGTCCGTAACTCGCCCAGGATTAACCCTCCCTGGAAACCTCTACACCATCGGCGAAAAATGGATACTGAGAGTGAAGGCTCCAATGAAGAGACAGACTCGTCTGAAAACTGAAGGTTGTGAGGGCGGGCACCATTCCCATCTTGGGTTTCTCCAGAGCCCACTGGAGGAACAGCACCTCCTCCCAGAGCATCTGCTCTGGGCGTGGGTTCTGTCCACATCACCAGTGTGTGTGTGTGTGGCTGCGCCAGTCCCCGTTGCCAAGCCCACCCGTCTCTTCCCAGGAAGAACTTTGCCTTTTTCCTAGCTCCAAATTCGTGCAGGAATAGCTCCTCTGCAGAGGCTGTTTCCAGCTGCAGAGCTATGCTTCCCTCTGCTGGCAGGCAACACCAACCAGCAGATGCTCGCACTGCCTCCCCTTGGAAATGGCCGGGTATTCTCTCACCAGGGCTCTCCCTCACGGTTCAGCGGGTGCTGGAGCACTGCAGGTGCCTCGCCAGGGTTTTGATGTGTATCTGTGTTCAGGCTTGGCCTAGACAACAGAGTGGTTAAATCACCGGTGGCAGCTCTGCACTTGTGCTCTGTTATAATTATTCCCAGTAAAGCTGCACCTGCGGAGGTAGAGAAATTCCTGAAGTTCCTAGAGAAAAAGGGCTTGAGGATTGCCATGCCACCCGTCTCTGCTTCCTCCTCCATGTGTTCAAGACATGCCAAAGCAAATATATCAAATAAGCTAAACTGCAGGAAGTACTGCAGGGTGCTGTCTGGCTCCTATGCTGCACTGAATTCCCTTCTGTGAGGCCTTCCACTGCCTCCAACAGCATATTAAGGTCATTCAGAAAAGCAAGCTCCAGAGGGGTTGGAGAGAGAGGAAAAAAAAAAGTCTTTAAATTTCTTGGCCGCAGGTGGTGTGGCTTGCAAATATAGAGAGCATCTGCTAGGGGTGGGTGGGCACAAGCGCTAGTGGAGAAGGAAGCGGTTATCAGAGGAGTCCTGGGTGTTTTTTTGTAAGTATTGGCGTTAGTCACAGCATCATAGTGTAGCCCTTACAACTACAAAAAGTAGCGTCTCTGTGTTAGTGGTAACTAGCTCAGCTGTTTGGCCTCCATAGCCCTGAATGCTTTGTCTAGCCCAGTGCCTGTGCCTCAGCTTGCATTGACTAGTTAGTTATTTCCTGGGGAACTTTAGTTTCTCTTGCTTTTTTGGGAGCCTCCTTGCTCCTCCTGTTCATAAAACGCTGCAGCGTGGGCTGCCAAGAGCTGATAACCCAAAGCTTAGAGCAGCCCTGAGCTGAGTGGACTCAATACCTGCTGGAGCTATTTTAAGACTAATCCTGTAACTACTGCTGAGTCTGCACCACAGCCCCACCTGTGGAGGTTAGTGGGAGGGGTTACTTATTTATTGTAAGTTATTTTATTTATTAACGTGCTCGCTAACTGTGCTTTCTCTCCCAACCATCAGTGATTGCCTGTGACAACCCGGCAATAAAGCGCACTGTGTAAGGCCACTGCTGCCTCTGGAGTCTTCTGGGCAGCCCCGGCCCCTCCTCAGGGCACTGCCAGGGGTAAGGCCCGGGGAGGGGGGAAAAGCAGGACAGGAGCAGCGCAGGGCCCCGGCCGCCTTTCAAGGGGTCCCGCCAGCCCCTCGCCTCGGCCAGGGAAGGAGACAGCACCCCCATGTCCTCTGTGTGTGTGTGTGTGTGTGCCCCACGGTACTTCCCCCCTGCACCGGCCCTGCCTTCCCACCTCCTCCAGCCCACTGCCCCAAAGGCTGAGGAATTCGGAGGAATTCCAGACACCCGCCACCCTCCTGCCCCACCGGGGTAACCCTTCCCCGCCCAGCCCCACGGGCACCGCAGCCCCTCGACCTGGACAGGAGAGGCGCAGGCTGGGCAAGCCCGCCGACAGCCCCCGAGAGAGGGTCGCTGACAGAAACTTCACAGCAGCCCCAGCCTCTCTTTCTTCTAATGGTGTGTAAACGTCCCTTCCCCCTCCTTTTTCTTAATACCCAGTCCTTGACACCACAGTCCAAGGAAAAGGAAAACCACGCTTTTGTTAAAACCACGAGTCAGGAGCAGAAAATTACACTCCTCACGTACTGCTGCACTTCAGAAAAGTCCACCTCACGGTGAAGTCAGAGGTTTAGGACTTTGACCTCAGTTCAAAGCTAGGCAACAAAATAACCAAAGGATCCAGTAAATAATAGTTACAGTACTTCTTTACCTGGGCCTTTTTTTGCTGATAATGTAATTAGAAGCTAAAAAAATAATCTTTGCTTCGATTTTTTTTCTCCTGCATCAATATATGCTGGTTTACAAGACAGTAAAAAGGATTATCCCATGGTAAATGTCAGACCCTGCAAATACAGAGGACTCCACAGCACCATGGATTGGGACCACTGAGCAGAACAAAAAAAAACAGTCATGTCCATGGGAACCAGGTAACATCATGTTCAGAAAAATAGTGTTCCCCTTTCCTCCATCACTTGGTGAGCTAAGGTATGGGCCAAGAACAGGAACACTGATGAGGGCAGCCCATAGAGTTCCTGTCATATCTTTTACAGCAGCAAGGTTAACCCTGTAAGAAGGCCTGTCTCCTCCACTGGCTAGTAGATAGCAGTGGGTATGAGGGCACATTGAATTTTAATAGAGTGGAATCCAGAGATATTTGGAAAGCATCCTGGGTGCAGCCATGTCCTGACCCCCTCTGCTTACCTTCTCCCCTCCCCACCCACCCCAGACAAACTAAGACAATCCTGCAGAGTTTACTCCAGGCAAAGGTGGCATCAGTGCCTCTTGCTGGCTTCCCTGTGAGTTGCAGTTCCTGGGTCATCAATATGAGCCGTAACGATCCTGGGGACGAAACACACCGAGACACCATGCTACAACACCTCATGCAAACTCCAGAGACCGCTAACAAGGTCTTGGGGTGTTTGAGATTGGAATGCAGCACAAGGTTACCTAGGCAGGACACCATGCAAAGGCAGGAAGTGTAACTGCCTTAACTTTTTTAAGTTCTGCCCAAGATTTGGGGGAAAAGGCATATCTGACAGGCAGAACAACGTGTCCTGGCCACCAGGAGAATAAAGTTGGCCAAGTTCACTAACCACCTGAAATTGCTCAGCTAGTATAGTCACCAGATAAAAACAGGTCTCTACCTGGGACTTCCCACGTAATTTGAAAAGACAATGATAATTCCAGCAGAAGCCAGGATTTGGTGAAAGTCCCTGAGCGTGACAATAGCCTGTGTGAAGGTGCTGTACTGTAACCTCACCTGGAGGGAGTTCATCACCCCGTTGGCTAGGACAGCCATCTTGCCAGCAACGGATTTCACACCTTGCTTGAACTGTGCAATGTCGGCTGCGGGTAGGACGTTTCCAATTGACACACCACCTACAAGAACCAGCAGGATTTAGCCCGGAGTCCCCCAGCTCCAGAGAGCACCCTGACCCCCTCCACTCCAGGTCCTCCAAAGCTGCCCCTTTCCTCAACCTGCCGAGTGCGAACAAACCTGAGTGCGCATTCTCAGCCTCTCCAAACAGGTCTGCAGAGCTGATGGCACTGCTGCCTGAGAGCTGCTGCAGTCGGGATCTGGCTTCATACTGCAGCAGAAAACAAAACAAAACCGTTAGAGCGCAAGCAAACGAAGCAGGACCTGAGCAAAGAGGAGACGAAGCCAGAGCTGTACCAGCCTAGGCACTACAGAATGCATCTACCTCAGCGTCCACCTCCCTCCCGAAGAACATATCTGAAGAGATAGCTTTAGCCCCTGCAAACTTCTGCCGAGCTTCATTGGATTCCACAACGGATGTCCTGTTCTCTGTCTCCCGCCTACCGGTGGGTCTGAGGAAATGAGAGAAGACATCTCAGCTTAAGCTCACCAACACAGGACAGAAACAGACTTCTCTCTCAGACCCCATCTGATCAAAGGAAAGCAACAAAGCCTCGGGTGGTGGCTACCATCAGGATTTTCTCCCCACCTCAGGAGAAGCCAGCACTTGATGACCACAAAGGCTGTATCAAACGTAGGGATACGACAGGCAAAGAAGTGCCCAAGCCTCTTTCACCAAAGGCCCTTTTTCTTGAGCTCGTACATGCCAGTTATCTTCTGTAGCACAAGGCTCCTATCATAACACAGCAGCATCTCTCCCCACAGCTCTCAGACCTATCCCTTTGTCCCGCACACAAGGAGGGTACAGTGGCAGTGGCAGGCACTTTACCTCTCTGAAACTGGTCGAATACTGGAAATGGTCACCTCAGGTTCCTCCTCTCTGTCCATACCCCATGAAGAATCCGTTTCCCATCGTGAGCCAAATGCATCTTCAAATGAGAAGGGACTATATTTGTACCTAGGTACCAAAAATAGGTAATTTAGGCCAGACATTAAATTCAGGAATGAGCCAAGGACTACACTGAAGCTGAGTCTTACTTGGGGGGTCCAGATGTAAAGCCTCCAGCATCTTCAAACAAGTCCAATTGGGAGCGGGATGATTTTGCAGCCAGCGGCGTTTCCTGCTCAATTACTTGCATCTCAGACATCACCGAGTGTGAAACAGAACTAGCACAACAAACAGGCAGTCAGGGCCCATGGGTCTGGCAGCACCCAGCCCCTACAACCAGCCTGCCTCAAAACTGAACCTGGCCTTCACAGGCAGGGCAGGTGCCACGAGTCCCAAGGGAGAGTTGTGGGATGTCAGCCCCCTTCATCACTTATCTAGCTTATCCCGACTCCCTTAGAAGTCTTGAGCTACTTTAAGGGAAGTGTTCTGCAGGGAGACATCTGTCAAGCAGCGGGGCTCTAGGGCTAGACACTGACAGGCCGCCCGCATCTTTGGAAAAGCTCAAATGAGAACAACAACCTCTGAACAGAGTGCCCACTCCTTCTGGCGCCCAAAGCATTTTTAGACATGGTTCAGCACATGAGCATTTTAAATCAGCTCCTTATCTGTTACAGGAGCAGGAAGCTCCTGCCTTCAGGAAACTTTTCCAGAGCAGGGTGCTTCCAAGGCACCTGTCTGTCCTTTGCCATCCACACCAAGTACCTTCTGGACACCAAGCCCATGCCCAGCCTCTCTGCTTGTTCACGCTTCTTCCCTTCAAGGTTCTGAAGTTTCTTCTCTTCCTTCTTCCGATCAAGCTGCAGTTCCTGGTAAGCCAGTCGCATTGAGGTGACTCTAAAGGAAAGAGCTATGGTGGGTACCAGCTCATTACCCTCTCCCCCAGCCCACGATGTGGAGGGGCAAGGCAGAGAATAACCCTGATAACCCATCAAAACACCCATTTCCACAACAGTTCTGCTAAAATTCTGCAGCATGTTCTGTATCCTCATTAGGTGGTCCTGAGGTGAACAGCATTAACCTCATATTACTTCTGCCTTATGTATGCAAGGTATTCAGCCCAAACAGGGCACTTACATGGACTCTTCAGCTTGTTTCCTGGACTCCACTGCCTGCTGCTCCCTCAGCTGCTCTGCCACCTGGGCTTGCCGCTCAATCTCACTGAAGCTCTGGCTGCTCACTTTCTGGGCTCCAAGACCTTTTTTTGCACCCAACTTGAAAAAAAAAAAAAAAAAAGAAAAGTGATTTGTTCATCGTAGAAGAAAACCAGAATCCTACTCCTTGCTGCACTGATCAGGCCTTCGTTCTCCATGTGTAGTCACAACCTACAGACCCACCAGAGTGTGCAGCAGAGTACAAAAGAACACCCAAGAGTTAAACCACCAGTGGCCAGTGCTAAGGTATCAGCCACATACGCTTCAGACCATAATGAGTAATGATGCAAAACCTAATTGTTTTTTTCCATTAGTATATAAGCTGTATTTCAAAATAAACAGCGATAGAATCAGAGCTCTTCCTTCCCCAAATGGATCTCTCACTACATGGCTTCATAAAGGGCAGAAAGCAAGGGCCAGGGAAAGAACAGCAGTAACATGAGACATGCTCTATCTCCTCTCCATAACACACGAGCTCAGACATACCCCTTTCTTGGCAGCTCCTGGCTTCTTCTTTCCAATGAGGGAGGATTTAAGTTCTGCAAGAGGACAGAAGCAGCAAATAAGCAGAAGTGAATTAATTTAAGAAGCCAAAATTAGTCAGCAACCCACACGAACATCCACCACAGTCCAGCTGCTACAGAGTCCAGGGCACACCATGCAGCTTTACATCAGAAGCCTGTGTGACTTCACTCAGCCGAGAAAGATGCACTCAGAAGCTCCACAACTGCAGGCTGGTGGCCTAGAGAAGCATGTCCATTGCTGGAGAAACTTGTACGTGAATTAAGACCTTTGAATAGCTCCTCCAAATGCCATGCAGTTGGTGACCCTATCCAGTAGGGATCAGGGTAGCTAGAGAAAGACTAGATTTATTCCATACGTAAATACAAGAAAATGCAGCTTCAGAGCCATACGAAGGTCAGCGCCTCACCAATACCTCGGGGACAAAGAAGCAAGAACCCTAAGCTCACGTTTACACGAACAGACCAATGACAAAATGGACCTAAAGTGCAGTGAG